TACTTGATACGTCAATTGATGGAAATAATATTTATTTAATTGATTCATTACAATTTGATGGAATTGGAATAGTCGGATTTAAAAAATTAAGTCAATGGATAAAAAGAGATAAATTATATTTATTGTATGATAGTAAAATAAATGGAATAGAAAAAGATAGTCTTCATAAACTTATTCTTACTAAAAATGGAAATACTAATAAAAGAATTTGTTTATTATTTTTTACTGATAAAGGTTTTATCTTTGGTGTATGTCATAAAAGAATTGAATTAAATATTACAGAAAGAATATATCTTGATGATGACCAATCATTTTTATTTACTCTTGTTAATCCATCTAAAGTTCCAATGAAAATAATAAGAAAGTATGGAATTATTAGTAAATTAGATGATAATAATTTCTTTTATCATATAGAATGTGGTTTTAATCTTAAATTTGATGAAGAGTCAAAAAAAGTTACTGGGTATTTTAGTACTAATTATTCTACTTATTATAAAACTGAAAGAAAAATTCAACATGGAGACGATGCTTATTTTTTTATTCCAAATCCTACTCAATTTAAGTTAAAAAGGATTATTGCTTTTGAATATGAACTTTAATAATTTAATGTTTAAATTATTTATCATTAATTTAATTTAGTCTTATTTTATATTTTAATTTCTTTCATTTATAATTGTTGATAAGAACAAAACCAATTCTTACAATAATATTTCTTTTCTGGTACTTCTTGAGTTTCTAATGGATCTATTAATGGTGTTGTTGTTGGTATATCAAACAATTCTTTTAATATTTCATTAAAACAGTTCTTAACATTATATCCACTTTTAGAACTTACTTGGTAATATATTACTTCTTTTTGTTTGAGTTCATTTTTACATTGGTTAATCCAATTAATGTCATATTTCTTTATTAAATCATATTTGTTTTGTATTGCAAATATTCTTGTTTTAGGATAAATTTGCTGAAGAATATCAATCCATTTAAGACAACTTTGATATGACTCAATACCATTATCAAAAACAATAAGTGCAGCATCTGTTTTACTCATATATCTATTAACTAAATTATTATTAACTTCCCAATTAGGAAAGTCCCAAATATTATAATGAATAATAACCTCACCAAAAAATATTGAACTTGGAATAACATCAATACCACTTGTCTTCTATAATAATTTAAATGTTTTGTTTTATATTTACCTTTTTTGATTCAAATAAATATATTACAAACAGAATATTCTTCTACAAAGGAGTTACATAAAAATCTACGTATTAATGAAGTTTTACCACTATATGGACATCCACAAATAACAATTTTCTTTGGAAGTTGTATTGGACTGCTTGCATCTACTTGAATATAAGGATTCATTTTCTATTTTATTTGGCAACATTTTCTTATCATTAACAGATTATAATAATTATTTCACTTTATTATAACTTTCTTCATCAACTTTTATGAAATAAAAAGTCTAATTTATGAGAGTAAAAAAAGCAATAAATTGTTTAACCATTGTTTAATTGTTTTTAATACCTTAGAATACCTTTTATCATGAACGAATAACTTAATAGATAAATTAACTTTTATATTAAAAAAAATAATATGGAAAATATTTAGTTTTTGAGAAATAAAAATAATACTAGATTCATAAAAATTTTGCATTATGAAACAAAGTCAAATATAATGAATGGTATAGTTATTAGAAACTATCTTGAATTTATAGCCATAGTCATTTCATTGATCTATAATTATAACAAAATGAAGATCAATTACTATAAGGATAACTATCATAATTCAAATA